AACTGCGGTCAACTATGTGGGAGTCCAGCGACATAGCCATTACGCTAACTGCTGGTCCCAATAAAATAATTCTTTTTAAAAAAAACTTTTTAAATTATTGTTTAAAAAAATTCAAAATGTGTCTTCACAGAGAGGCAAAAGTCACATAAGGATACTTTAATCAGAGGTCAAGATGAAGAGATCGAATAAACATAAGGGCCGCCCCACGGTACAGTTCGTTCTCCACCTCTAGGGCATTTTCCACACGAGTCCCTCGGCCTCCCCGGTTCCCGATTGTGCCGCTGCTCCCACCCAGGCAGGTCCTCCAAGTAACCCGCGCCTCATCTTCCTGAAGGCACGGACCCTTCTGCCTCAACGGTGTGGGGGCCCAGGCCCACTCCCCGCGTGGAGCCATTTTGCTTGTATCACTTCTGTGCCAGATGGCGCGCCGGGTGTGCAGGCATTACTGGGACGGGACTCCTGCCCTCAGACGCACCCCGAGACACCGAGCGGGAGCTGTGGGAGGGGCATGGCGCGGGGTGCACGGGACACCTCAGGATTCCTCACTTGGCCTCTGCATCTGCACCTCCCTCTGAGACGTCCATCTGCCTCTATCTCGGCAGCACCCTCTGGCCGCCAGAAGCGTTGCCAGGAGCAGGGGATCAGCCTAGACCCTGAGGGGCTCTTGGAGACACTGCCAGCGGGCTGCCCGCCTGGCGCCCCAGCACCCTCGGAGTCTCGGAGTCTGTGCAGCCCACTGTACGTTTCATGCTGAGAAGTCAGACTCTCTCTCTCCCCCCCTCCCCCTCCCCCCCACACACAAGGGTGTTTGTGTTTTAATCAGAAGTAGGGCCCAGATGGTGGCATAGCGATCCATCCAGAGACCTCCCCGAACAGGCTCAACCGTGCGTGGCAGAGGTGGGGGATCACAGTCTGAGGACCCCGTACGGGTAACTGTGCCTGTCTGTCTGTCTGTCTGTCTCACTCATGGAAGAAAGAAACTAAAGGAGAAAGGACATCTGTGAAGGAGGCGGCTGCTGACAGAATATATAACACACCCACACAAAATGGATAGAAAATGATGTTTTAGAATTTAATGCACACTATATTGTTAAGTAGTAAGTTTTAAACTTGGGTGAATATGGCCACGCAGGCCATTTATAGTGACCCCAAATTAGTATTTCTTACGTATATATTTGCATTTTAAAAAAATACTCGTCAAATGGTACACGTGCTCGCCAGAGAGAGAGACAGAGGGCGAGGGAGAGAGCCACTCCCATGGGGATAGTCACACCACAGGCCCTTCTCCACGTCTCTCTCCTTTCAGAATTTTGGGCATGTGCACACACATGGCCAGTGTGTTTGTGTTTTAAGCTGCTGGGTCTAGGACTTGAACTGCGTATTCGGTCATGGGATCCAGCTTCCTTCTGCAGGCCACAGGCTGGCCCTGCGTTTGCATTTTTGTTGTTGTTTATTGTTACTGTAGGGTGTGTGCACTTGCGGGGAGGGGGGAACAGAGAAACAGAGGGAATGTGAGAAATCACCCCCCCAGGGGGCATGGCCACACGGCAGTTCCTTCTCTTCCATTCTCCTCGGGATTTGGGCCCCCGGGTACATGCATCTGGCATATTTTCCATATTGCTAGGTCCGAGACTCAAACCACTAAGCCCCGTGGGATCCGGCTGCCCCACCAGCCATTTGGCTGGCCAGTGTTTGTGTTTTCTACAAGATTGGGAAGATATCAGGCTAGCCCCACAGCCCAGTGATTAAGGGAACCGGATCCAACATGGCTGACTGCAATTCAAACCCTGGCCCCAGTGGCTTGAAAGACACCAGGCATGTGAGCATGCATGCCTCAAATCCCAGGGGGTGGTGCAGTGGAGAAGGGATTGTGACGTGACCATGTCCCACTGGAGGGTGTTTTCTCCCTCTCTCTCTCCCTCTCTCTCTCCCTCTCTCTACCCAGGCAGCACACGTACCATTTTGCAGTTCATAATAATAATAATAATAATAATAATAATAATAATAATAATACAAGATAGAAAAGAGAGTATTAAAAAGCTCAGTGGTTGTGTTTAGGTATGGGAAGAGCAGGTCATTGTATAGATGTGTACCTAATGTTCCATGACAAGCACTTAAGTGGTTTTGAATTCAAGAACAGAAAGGTGGCAAGCGCACACCAGTGCATCTGCCCCCCTGCAGTGCAGGGCTCTCCCCCACACAGCCCAGCCCCTTCCCTGCACAGTCACCAACCCCTCTGCTCCCAGCTCTGTCTAGTCACCTGACCCCTACCCTTCACCTCCCCTCCTGCTGCCTTCCTTACGCCCAGCTCTTCTGCATCCCTCACCATGGGCCCTTTCTGGCCCCTCTCTGCCCCGTCTTCCTCTCTGTTCCCAGCCTGTGTGGCCAAGTGGTGACTTCCAGAAGGTCTTGCTGCTAAAGTCACAAGTGACCCTCCAGTTCCCAGCCCCTGAGGGCGCTCGAGGCTGCACTGTAATCGCTCCTGCCCCCTCTGCCTCTCACTGTCCTGTCCTCCCATCTAAGGCCCTCTCCTGCCTGTCCCCTGGTTTCCATCACACATTGATGACACCCAGTCCGGCCTCACAGCACCGCCCTTCAGTATTTCCTAGGTCAGCACACTGTCTTCTGAACCCCCTGCTTATGGAATGGCACAAATACCCCCAAACAGCCAAGCTGGCGTCCTGGCCAGGCCACGAGGTCCTCCCATCCTCATTCCCAGCTCTGGCCTCTCAGCTCTGCCTTCCTCTCTATCCCGGCCTTCTCTGAGCCCCTCCCCCAGCCCCGCAGGGACTTGTGTGCTTCGGGGCCACGACAAGGACCGAACACTCT